AGAGAGAGAGAGAGAGAGAGAGAGAGAGAGAGAGAGAGAGTCTTGTCTCCTTCCGACAATCAGTGTTCACCGGTGGACAACACACTGACTCCACCCCCTCCCCCCCTCCCCGCCATAAGCACGACGACAAGCAGACCCAGTCCCATCATACCCACCGACCAGGAGGCAAAAGCTCTCCCGGCGCGTAAGTGCTGGACCGGAAAGTGGGAGGGCGGTTCTCCGCAAAGGAAAAAAAAAAATCTCACCAAGCGTATCCACTCTACTTCCCAAGTCTTGTCGGCTGACCGACTCCGGCTGACGACAAAGACATGGTACATGTAGTATGTACTTAATGTGACCCGTTCCCTCGTCCTGGGGTCAAGAAGAAGGGCCGACGTAATAAAATATCTCTGTGCTTGAGTGGATTCAACAACTCTTCTTGCTCCCCGTTTTCAGGCATTGAAAATAAACACATGTAAGCGCACACGCATACACAAGTATACATACAGACACACACGTGTACACCCCCACACACACACAACTGTAAGGTCGTGGGTTCGAATCCCGTCAGGGGCCCGATGCTGTGTCCTTGGGAAAGGAACTTTACACGAATTTTCCTCACTTCACCCAGGTGGGAATGGGTACCCGGCTATAGACGGCGAAAGATCTTGTCAGTTTGTTAGTGTCTGAGAGCTTAATCAGCTGCTTGCACCGTATGCTTCCCGGGAAGCTGAGAATGTTTCGGAGTGTTCTATGGTCTGCTGGAGTAATAATATATATAGTGTAAAGCGCATAGAGTCTGCTGTTGAGCGGGGATATGCGCTATACAAATGCTATCTGTTATTATTATTAAATGCACACACACAAACACACCCACACCCACACACACACACACACACACACACACACACACACACACACACACACACACACACAAACTAATGCTTCCATTAGACATGTGGGTCCAAATAAAAAGATCGAAAAATTTTGACTGCTACATCATACGTCAAATACGCGCGTGCATGTTTGCGCGTGTATGTGCATGTATAAGTGTTTGTGTTTATAATGTGTGTATGTGTGAGAGTTTGTGTTAGTGGGCGAGCAATACACAAGGAAATAAACTTGTGTAATAAACATTTCCAAGATACATCCTTCGCTCTTCAACGAGACCCAGATTTAAAAATCGAAAAGAAATCAAGCCACAGACAAAACACACCACAATCCTGCCACATAAAACACCAAAACCTACACATTGCATTAAGCAGTACGAGCCATACAAATATTGACTGATCTGTCAACATCGCAGAGAAGCCCTTGGGCGCAGCATTATTATCATAGTTAAAACTTATCAAGTCTTAGTATTTGGCTTGGCAAGCGACAAGAAAAGGATGAAGGGCTTCGAAAAGAAGGAAAGACGACGCGAAACCGTTGACAGAATGAGGAACCGCATGCCTGCACTCGGGTTCTTCCGACGTAAGCTTTACCGGAACAAGGGAGGACTTGCGGTTTAATCGTTTAT